GCCTCTGTCACTCGGTTTTTTCGAAAGGCGGAAGCACTTGGAAGTACCGGAATGGTTATCTCCGTAACTCGCTCTCTTCAATAGGCGGAGGCTCTTAGAAGTAATCGAAATGGTTACCTCCACGATCCGCTCTGCTCGAGAGGCGGAGGAGCTCGGAAGTAACTCGAATGGTTACAAGAAATCAACAGCTGTCAAAGTTGTCTGTAGATGGCTTCCTGTTTAAGCAGAAGCACTAAGAGCAAACTGATGGTGACTTTGTTCCCTGCTATTCGCTAGCATCAATGTACTATCGAAACAATGGTAAATTGTCCTCGACTTCCTGTCCTCCTCAGCATTCGCCGGCCCCCTAACTATATTATTGATCAGAGCGATAAAAAATTTGCGCAAAATGAACTTCCCTGTCAAAAACTGCTAGCCCACAAACGAAAGAGTGGAACCTGTCTGCGACATATTGTAGATAGCAACGAATCCCTCAGAAAATGCATCTCGCGAGCAGCCACTATCCACAAACGTTCGTGTCGTTATAGCATCCAGGCTGTATGGCGGAATACCAGTCCCTGGAAACTGCAGCATCGGGGCTGAAGACGCCCAAGCTCTAGAATGTAAAGCTGCTGAAATCATAATCCTTCTGGTAGCACATTAACAGAGAAGAGGCGAAAAAAGACAGGCATTCCTTTTGTGTAAGAAACATACGGTGGATTGGTAGAAATACGGTAGAAGTATACAGTAGCTCTAGGGTCATTAATATTTAGCAAAAAGCCCCCACTCCGTTACAGTATCCCGTCAAAAAATTCCACAGTATGCAAGCATGTTGATTTTGGAGATGCGCCTCATATATTTGTTATGACATTGGAGTGCTGAATTGAGTTATATCTTCTCAGATTTTTACTCCTTTTTACAGAGAAACATATAAAAACTATGAAATTGTGATTGCCCGTTGAGAGGTTAAAGACGAGTCTGCTATCTTTATCGCTCTTTTTGTGCGCTGCAACTAATAACAATAAAAAACTCAAAGAATATTTTAGTATTCTTAAATTAGTAACAATAATCAAAGATTGTGTTTTCATGGTACCACGTAAATGGCGACGAATTTAGGTTAAGAAATTTGAAAAGGGAAAGAGGGAGGTTCATATAGCTATAAATTTTTTCCTTTAATTGTTTAGGCTACGCAGTGACAAGTAAGCGCAAGGTAGGTCTGTGTTGGGAAACCTTAAAATCCTGATTTTAGGTAAACCGGATTCCTGGAAGTCTTAAAATCCCGATTTCTTGGTTTGTCTCAATTTGGAGATATGTTATTGGCCAAAATTTAGAATTTGATCTCATGGCTTTGAAAAAGTTTGTCCTTACCTGAAAAAAGTCTGCAGGTCAATTTTAATCGCTTCACTGATTTTGCCGGTGTAAGACAAAATAAAGCAATTTTCTCAAAAACCGATTTTTTGTATACTTTTTCATGCCAAGTACATGAATGATTTAAAAGGATGGAAACCTAGCACGATTCGTCTTTGACTTATGCAAAAACAGGGCACAGTTTCGAATCTTCTCTGATTTCGAGATCGCTGTGAAGAAGTCAAAAACCTCTTCCGTATATTTACTCTCTGTGTAAGGCGCATGTGCTCGAAAGTATTCTGAAGGTAGTAAATGCCAACAACGACCACTCGCTGGCAAAGCTGTCGATGACTTCAACTTTCGCGAGTTGTTTCTAAACGAGTTATTACAGATAGCTAATACTTGCTTACCCATCGACAATATGTGGATATTTCATGCGGAGCCATGCGGCAAGCATGCCACCATAGGAACCACCGAATGCAATCACCGGAATTTTGGTATCACTAGGGCAGTTCAGCGATCCAAGTTCATTGACATCGGTTTTCAGAAATGGCACTAACTGTGCAAAATCGGCAAGTGTTTGAACTGCGCTCAAATAGGCCAATTTTTTGACATCCTGAAATTCATGAAAATAGATTTGTGGTAAAATTTTATCACTGGTTTACCTACAGCGAAAAAAGAAAAGCTGAGGAATCTCTTTTTTTAGGAAACGTATGTCAAGAATGCCAAGTCCGCTTGGGCATCAGTTTCGATATCCTACGTTAGGGGTATTATTGATAAGTGCGGCCCAGCCCCTAGGATTCTGGACTACATACCTCCAATACTCGCAACTTCTTTGAACCATGTAAATTTACTAATTCGGGAGTCACCCGATTAGTCGCTTACTTTCTTGTAGCGGCATACAGATATTACTGAGTAAACTTCAAATCTCTGGGCTGTTAGCAAAAAATTTCTAACTGAAATACTAAT